CAACAGAAACCTCGTGAAAAGTCCTGGGGTGTACGAGTTATACGCAATACTGAACTTGCACCCATTTCTTTGCAGGGCCTGCGTGAATCTGGGGCCACCGCTTCCAGGCAGCAGGCTGGCATCCGGGGCAGGCCCGGGAACCCTCCCTTCCCCACAGCCTCTCCAGCTCCCTGCTGGCCGATGGGGCCCGGAGGCTGGGCTGCCCACCAGGCAGTGTGACCCCAGGACTCCCCTCAGCGACTCAGCTTCCTCGGCCAAGAGCTGGGGAAATTCTCCCTCACGTGCCCGACCCCAGTGAGTTTCCAAAGAAACGGGAACTACTGTACTAAACCGGCAAATGGATCTTCGTGGGTACACGGGTGATCCTCAACAACGCTGATCGTGGCCGTGGCACTGGATACCTGCACCCAGTTCCAGGCACCGAATGCATGTGATGGGTCACTGTCTTCATCTGATCTCATCCCATCACTCAAGGAAGGTTTTGTTGTTTTGAGTTGAAAAAAGAATACGCAACTCGACAGAGTTAAGCAAGTCGCCTGAGCCACACAGCTAGCACGTGGGAGGGTCGGGATTCAAATGGAAGTGGGTGTGACTTCAGTCCCCCTCGCTTCACTCAGACAAAATGGCCCAAAGTGTTTGGAACACCTTCGTGTCCATGTATAATTTGGGTCATGTTCTGAGCAGACAAAACTGTGCCAGAAAAATCGGTCCTTTATTGTATCACATTCTTTGGATATTTAATCAAATTCACATTGATTTGCATCCGAACTTATAGGAAACATTTATGTGTGTGGCCTGTAAAATAATCTTGTAAAAGTGCTTGAACTGTAGTCTGTAACTACTGATACACTCAGACACACTCACCTCAGTGCAATCATTAAAAAAAGTGAATTCCATTAGAAACATCTTTTACTTTGAAAATGCGTAAAATCCTGCACACCTAATGTAACACTGTAAAATTGTCTAGTGGTCATCATTTCAAATGTAATGACCGAAGGAAACAGAAACAAAAGATAAAATTCTGCGAGATCCAAATTCAGATTCAAATCCATTTTTATCCCACTGCGGTGGCTTGGAAAGAATGCTGCTTTGGGGCTCGGGGAGGTTACGTGTGAGTCCACGGGGGAAGTGGGTGGCACCTTGGGAAACCCAGTCTGGGGCCCCTCATTTCCGGCTCAGGGCCGCACACAACGCTGCTCAGATTAGACGTCCACGCTTTGCCCTGGGTCCGGAGAGGTGAAGGGGCCAACGGTGGTTAGAAAGTGCCCATGGGAATACAGACGGGCCGTTGCGTTTTCTACAGATGCTCACTGTAGTTCTCTCCCATTGCAGAGCAATTACTGATGCGCATCTGTCTTTTCACTACCCTTGGAACTCCCACCGAATGAGAGCTGCAGCTTTTTAAAGTCTGACTCTCTGGAGTCCGCCATCCCAGTGATGGATGAAGTCGAGGAAGGAAGTGGGGGAAGAGGGGGGAAGGGGAGGGAACAAAGGAAAAACGCTGCAGCAAACTGGAAATGACCTAGAGACAGAAGACATGGGCTGGCCGAATACTACGGCGTTAGTGACATAAAAACATTCCATCGTGTGGATGTGACAGAAAAAGATGACGGGGAAAAGCGTGTTATATAAAACAGTGTGGCTGAAAATAAAGTTTGTCCGAATCATTTTACTCAAATCTGGGTCCTTGCTATTTACCTAAATGAAGCCAACCTTATAAGTTTTTAAAAACCAATCAATGTAAAAATTTTTCAGTTAAAACGGAGGCGTGGGAAGCAGAACTTTTTGGGTCTGGACTCAAGTCCGTGTGAGTTTACAGGTAGAAAATCACAGTGACACACCAGAAGGCCTAAAAACTCACGTAGAGAGCGTCACCTGTGATTAGCTTTATCCGGCGTCTTCATCAAGTTTTTCTAAATAAGAAATACCCGGGCCTGAAAGTACCCCTCCCCCAAGTCTATCTGCTCTCAAAATGGGACGTTTACACAAACATTCCACTCAGAGGCTTTCGGTGGTTAGCGGCCATCTAATCATCTGAAAGCCAAGTCATGTGACCTGGGGATTCTATGGTGCATAAAAAAATGCAAATATTGTTTATGGTGGAAACTGAGAAAAGCACTGTTCGTGGCCCGCTGCCAAGTTTAATTTCCTGTCGTGTCTTCGGCGTGCAGTAAAGGGGCCCTTTGTCTCCATCTCCCAAACAACTGCACCAAATGTGTGTTTCAAAACAAATAAAAAGCACGTGAGAAGAACCAAAAGAAATTAGGTAGGGTTTGCTTAATCTCTAGATTTGCCAAAAATTGAGCATTCTGTGAAAAAAAAGGGCTAATATTTCATTGAGCGTCTCCTTTGTGTAGAACTGTGGACATGTGAAAACCCAGGTTTATAAACACTGAGGAGCAGGTAATTTTGCTTTTCCAAGACACTTTTTTTTTTTTTTTGCTCTCACAAGAGAGGCATTACTTAATTTCTTTAAATAGTAAACTTGCCTAGTGCATTTAAAATAGGTGTCGTTGACAAGATCATGACTTAAGAAAAGGTTTTCACAAACATTGGCAGTTGTATGTAAGGGGGATACACACACATACAGATTTAATATAGCCAAGCACATTTAGAAGATAGAAATACCACAGGGCCTTTACAATTTCACTGGGCGATAATATCCGCAGAGTTTTCACTCTCTCCTCCGCTTGTTAAAGAAAGCAATCTGTGATGGAATCACCATCACCATCAGTAGAAACGATGCTTATTTGTGCCCACCTTACTCAATGCTTGTCCTGCACTATCTCCTGCATTCAATCCTGTCACCCATGCTATGGGGGACTTTCGTTCGCTCTGCTTTAGAAATGGGAACCTTGAAACATAACGCGGCTAGGGAACCTGCCCCGCAGCCCCCAGTGCCCAAGCCTACAGAATCTCACCCTCAGTAGTCTGCCGCACACTCTGCCCTTGAACTCACCTGCTCTACTGCTTCTCCTAACACCCAGCCGCTACGATTGTAGAAAATGGGAATCTTATTGTGTCACTGAACTGGCTCAAAGCCCTCTACTGGTGTTCCAGCTCACTCAGAATAAAACTCAGATGCTCCCCACTCCTTCAGGGCCCACACGGCCTGCCCTTGACCACTCTCTCAGAAACTGCCACCCTCTTCTGTCCTTCCTCCGTGTGCTCCGGACACACTGACTAGTTTGTTGCCCTTCTAAGATGCTGAGCCGGCTTTGTGTGCGCGAGTCCTCTGCCACCGTGATCCTTCTTTGGCCTCTCCTATGGCTCCCTCCCTCCCTTCCTTCAGGAGCTTGGCCCAAGGTCAGCTCTTCCACGGGGCCTTCCCTCATCACCTTGATGACAATACAACCGGCCCTCACTCACGCTGGCCATCCCTTTATTTTTTAATAGAACGTATCCCTCTCTTAAACCACACTGTACAGTTATGTGGTTATTCACTGTCCTGATTGATGTCTGCTCCTTGGTGGTGGGACCTCACCGCTCTCCTCTGTGTCTCTGGGGTCTAGCCTGGTACCTGGAAAAAACCCGGGCTCGACAGGCTTTTGTGGAATGAAAAGAAGACAAATTCACCTGGAATGTTTACAGTTTCTAAGATAGAATGTTTGTGAAATCAAACACACTACCATCGAGAGATGGGGAAGAGTAGAAGGTAATGACTCGAATTCACACGTGACTTTGTAAAATGCTTTCTCGTGTGTGGTCTGCAGAGTGGTGTCCATCCACACAGGCACGTGCGCACACAGCTGACGAAGTCTGGCAAATACAACAATCACACTCCAGTACTTCTGTGCTTGGTGTCAGCTGGGTGGGGGCTGGTCACCCTACCGGGAGGACACAGGGCATATTGTGGGGTTCACGGTTTTAGGTGCTAACCAGACAAAGGGATGGGGTTCAGCAGCGGTCTATGTGCGAGCTAAAAGAACAGCAGTAAGGAGAACATTCCTGCACAAACCCTCAGTCTTTTAGCCTGGAGCTCCGTTAAATTTTAATGTAACCTTGGGGATGCATTCAGGCCCGACTGTCCCTGCAGAGAACCTCCCATGGGCCTACATTGCATCCATATCTCAGACTTACCTTGTCTCTATGCGGGGCCTAGAAATCATCCAACTGGCGTGTGGTCAGCCCTGTAAGCACCCTGGTCAAGCTGGCCTCCCCCACCCCCCGAGGCTCAGTCTCAGCGCTGGATCTGGGGGAGCCCGAGTAGCACGGCAGCTTGTGGGGTGCAGTCAGGGGGCAGGGAGAGGCACCCGGCTGCAGGCTGGGGAATGGTATGCGGACGAGTATTGGGCTGGGCTTCCTCAGAGTTGAAATCCAGACCCGTCTGCGAAGTATTACATTTTCCAAAGAACACAAACAGAAGGTCTGCTTATGAACTTGAATGAGAAAAGTGTCTTCGAGACACTTGAAGTGTATTAATCAAGGTAAGTGGGAATGCCTACCTAATTTTTTTCCTTCTTTCACACAATGACATTAGCCAGAGTTTGAGAACAGATGTAATTTTGGAACAGGTACTACAGACATAATGAGAGGAGGTAGATTTTTATAAAAGTAAGCACATTTTTAAGAATCTAAAATAGTGTTACGATTAATTTTATACATATACTGACTACAAGCAGTTTATAATGTATGTTGTATGTGCTATGACTACATGAAGAATGTTATAAACTGCCAGTATTAATACCGTAACAACTCTGGAGTAGCATGTAAGGGAAAATAAAACTTGAAGTTAAAACAAAGCAACCCTCTCGTAGTCTGAGCTTACATATTGTATGCTTCCTGGCAGACTAGGGCATTTCCTTTAACAAATACACTGATCCACTCCTTAAAATATTTAGAAATCTCATGGAGAAAAAAATATATAGAAGCAGAGCATCACTTAAAACTGTTGCACATGAGGTCACAAGAGAGCCGGCTTCCCCCCGCATACAGTGTGCAGAATTACCTTTCCTCAAACATGGTCAATAACTTCAGAATAAGAGAGTTCTCCAACTTACTAAGGACTTGTCGGGGTAGACGCCAGCTCTGAGCAGAGAGGCCTTCCAGCTGTCCACGTCCTCCTGGGAGTCGCAGGCCAGCTCCAGGAAGCGGTAGTCTTTGTACACATTCCTGGAGTTCAAAGAGACCCTGCTTTAGTGCTGAAGCGCATTCAGAAAGCTTTGCTCTCTCTGCAGACAATGGTACACGGGATAGGCCAATGGCTACTTCTCTCCGTCACTGGAGGGGGGAAATCACTGTCTTTAAAATACTTTCGCAAATTCCCACACAGAGGCATTATATAGTTTTTTTAAAGCCCCCTCATTAAAGAACTCATAGTTGTCTGTACTGCTGATCAAGAAGTTGAGAAAATCCAAACGCTCTCAATGGGGTAACCCACTGGGTACCAACGAGGGGGGGGGGCGTGATCTAAGGGGAAAGGGTTTGCTGTTGCCTGGTAATCAGATCAATTCTCTGAAACTATTTTACAGGACTAAGTGGCTCAGGAAACTTTAAAACACATGGCAGGAGTCTCACACACCAAAAAGACGATGCTGGATTTAAAACAGACGCGCTCGTCAGATGGGAGAGGAGAGAACCTTCACCAGCACTGGGTGGAGTGAGGGGCTTAATCAGTGCATCTTGGTAACTGGGCCAAAGCTACAATTTTATATTTCTTTTGCTAATGATAAAACAACACAAAAGACGTACCACATGGCCATTTGAAAAATCTGGAAACTAGGTCACAGTGAAAATGGCAACAGTCACCCCGTTTCACGGTTTACAAAGAGCTTTATTTCTTTATACTTTTTCTCTGCATTTTTCACGCAGTTGCGTTTTTGTCTCTATATCAGTTTTGTGTCCTTTTTCATTTACTGCTACACCACAGTTATCTACTTACACCATTACATCTTTATACACATCAAATTATGACAATAATCAGTATTATAAATGTATGGTAACTTCCTTGACCTCTTCTTATTATTAGACAACTAAGTCATTACCTTTTTTTTGCAATCATAAATAATGCTTAAATGAGTATTTTATCCATAAGCCTTTGACACATTTACTATTATTTTCTGAGAGTAGATTCCTCTAAATAAAGTCACAGGATCGAAGTTATGATCATTGTTAAAGACACTGGTTGATACACCTGGAAAATTCAGAAAAGCAAATCCAACGTAGACAGACACCAGCAGTGTGCAAGACCAACGATCTCCTTCTCCTTCTCTCTCAAGGTGTTCTCATTTGTGCCCAAGAGCCTCGGGTCGTGCCTGGACCCAGACGGCTCACCTACTTGCATGTCCAGACCTGTTCCAGATTCCCACCACCCGCTGACTTCTCCATGTGGGTCTCTCAGAGGCACCTTGAAGTGAGTGGCACCTGCTGACGCCTGACTTGGCGTTCCCAGTTCGTGCAGCAGCAGTACGTGGCCCAGACATTTGGGGGAGTATCTCAGCCACCTTCCACGCTCCCACGCCCCTCTTCCACTTTGCCACCTGAAAGTGTACTTCTGGTACACTGATAAAGCTCCATCTTATTATCATGTCCCCAGTGGTCTCCCAGTGTCACATGTCCCTTTCAAGCTTATTGTCCTCCCTGAGTCCTCATCATGCTCTCAAGATGTGAGTGGATATTTTTACTCCTGGCCTAAAACGCTCTAACAGCTACCTGTGTTTAGGAAAAAAACCACACCCCCGATGAGACCAGCAAGGCCCTGCATGGTCTGGCCCACCACCTCCTTCCTCTCCAGCTTCTTCTCACACTCTGCTCACCTGCTCTTGCTGCTCCGGCCCCATTGACCTTCTTCTCCCTTCTCCAATGGGCTACCCTCGCTCCCGAGTCTCTGAATATCCTGCCCCCTCTGCAGCGCTTCCCCCCCACACCCAGCTGTCACACAGTTAACGCCAAAGCATCGCCACGTTCCGAGACACCACTTTCCTGACACCCCTGCAGGTCGGCTCCTCTCTCAACCACTTTTCCTAATTCACATTTATGTTTCCCTTCGTGGCACTTCTGGTGTGATTTTGGAACTATGTGAGTTTCTTTTTCTTTCTCATTTACTTCTAAATTTTGATAATGTCTGTTTTCCCAGCTAGCCTGTAAACAACATTAGGACAGAGACTATACCATTTTCTTTGCTCATCAATCTATCCCCCAGGGGATTCTGGGAAGTTTTACTTGTGTTTATTTCTTGCCATAGCTCTATGCTTGGGTTTAGTTTTGTTATTTGAAAATTTTTTTAGAACGCTCTTTACTGTTTCTTTTGTGTAGGGTGGGAAACAAACTGCCTTTTTGGCTTCTATATTTTTCAGAGGTTTTCAATTCTACAGGTAAAGGATCATTTTTAAGTTTTCCAAATCATTCTTTAGATCATTTTTGTATATATGAGATTCAGGAGTAAAATAATTCTTGACTCAATGAAGACTTTAGAAGCTTTTACATTCCTCTACTTTCTCTCATGATAATTGCCGTCTACAAGTATCGACGTAGATTGTTTCTGAATTACTGTTTTCACATCTCTTCGAGAGTCCCCTTTTTCTTTTTCTTTTTTTCACTTTTTGCATTTGATGTTGTTACACTTAAGCAATTACTGAGATGGAACTCGAGGTGTAAGTGGAATAAATGTTTATCATCGGGCACTTTTTCCACCTGGACTTGCCCATCTGTAAATCCTTACTTGGGCTCTTGTTTGAATCGGCCTCTAAGAGGGCTGGGCTGGGTCTCTGGTCGGGGCCACATCCACACTCTCACGTGGATTCAGAGAGGAAGGGCGGACGTCCCTTCCCGTTGTCTTCCTGTTTAGCTCATTGTCTTAATCAGGGGTAAGGTGTGCATTGGTCACTCACAGACTTTCCACCTCGGCCACTCCACGAGTCTTATGGAGGGAGGGGCTTAATCAGTGCATCTTCGTAACTGGGCCAAAGCTACAATTTTATATTTCTTTTGCTAATGATAAAATAACACAAAAGATAGACCACATGGCCATCTGAATAATCTGGAAACTAGGTAAAAGTGAAAATGGCGAAAGTCACCCCTGTGTAAAAAGCTTCTAATTTTTCACCATCTTAAAAAAAAACAAAAACCCTCATTTAATCTTCAGAGTAATCCTGCCAACTCGGTAATGGGGCCGTTTCACAGCTGAGGATGCTGAGATCCAGAGAGATTAGGTGGCTTTTCTGAGATCCAGTGGCCGACAAATGGCACGACCTGGGCCCACCACAGTCCTGGCATGTGGCCTCCTTCAAACACACATTTGTTGAATGAATGCATGAATGAGTTACAGAATGAACTGAGATCGTGCTTATTTTTACAACTACCTTATATCGTTTTTTGATTGAATCCTTAACTTTCTACAGAGAATGTAACATAAAAAAGTTTGAAGAGGCAGATCACAATAAGCAGAATGAGCGATTTCCATTAAACGTGGGGCGCATTTAAAGAAAACGTATTCTCCAAGTATGAAAGTTTATTTTTGGAAAATCTGGAAGATTGCTACAAAGCAGACAGGGTAATGGATTATCTTGACGGGATCAAAACTCATCAGTTTTTAATTATCGAATTATTTTTCTTCCATTTAGGCTTCCACGTGAGGCATTTCCTGTGCCCAGTGAGTCCTTCACGATGCAGTGGTATGGGGACAGCCAAGCTGGACAAACGCCACGGAGCTCCTGGCCAGCTGGACGTCACACGACGCAGCAAGGGTACAGAGCTGAAGAATGCAGCTTTGGCCCGTTCTCAGTGACCTTTCTCCAGAGTATTTTCTTTCAGGGGCTCTTCACATGGAAAATCTTGATTTTTTTCTCCCCCCTCAAAGGATAGCCAAATTCTTGAGAGGGAAAATAATTATCTGGTTGAAACATTAGAAGAAGGTCAGAGACTCCTGGTGGCTTTGGCAGCTTCGTTTTTACCCATTTTTGAAGCTGCAGCTCGAGCTGTGTCTAGACATCCAAGGCGAGTTGGATGCAGGTTTGAAACACCGACCGGGCTGATTTACGGGAAGTCTCCTAAATCCCGCGCCAGCCGCTACCAGGCCCTCACCACGTGCTGGAGCTGCCCAGATGACCCGCAGCCATTTGTGCCGACTGCATTTTTTTTGTTGTTTAGTCTATTTCAGCTGCAATCATGCAGATACGAGCTTCTGAATGATTCTGCTATGGAATCAAGCTGAACTATGTGTTTAACAGTTTGAAAAAATAAAAGTCACCTCCACATGAAAAATGAGCCCGAGAAATTTTCATCCCCCACGTACAGGGCTTTTAAGTGCTATACCCGGAAGAGAACATGAGCACGTGATGAGACCATGTTTTGATTATATGTATAACTTTCAGTCACATCTCATAAGAGCTATGACAGCCCTTCAAACATCTGAGGCCAGATATTGTGTGTCCCCCAAGGTCTGCTAGCCCCTCAGCCAACCCTCCTGCCAATTTTTTCAGATGTTTCTAATATGAAGGTTTCTAGATAACGCAGACCTCCCATGCATTTGTTCTATTTTTAAAGGGTTTTCGAAAAATGGGATGCCAACAACCCATCACAAATCTCTAGCAGTGATATTGGGGGAATTTTCGCCTGCTTTCCAGAGAGTAAATTTTACGAATGTCAGTAAAATGTAGACTATAGTTAAGACCGTGAACCCCTGTGGAAGTCCAGGTGGTGCCATGCATTATCCGATAGGACACTGGGTAAGGCGACCTCTCTGAATTTCAGTGCCTTTAGACTCTGCACGTCATCTTCCGTAAAACCAGACCTCTCCTGTACCCACCATTCACTGCCAGAGAGACCGCATTCTTTCACCGGGCTCAAGAGCCCAAAAAAAGTTTTAAATAAAAAATTTTTAACGTTTAAAAAAAAATTTTAAACCGTAAGAGGGGACTAAAAGTTGAAAAAATAAAAGTATAACAGTATTACAAAACACATTCACTGTAAGTGCAGTGGCCTGATGGGCTGAGTCCCCACTGGCCCTGGCTTTCTGGGGCTGCCAGTGGCCATGGAGCCAGATTCTGTTGATGCTCCGCAGGGTTGGAGCCCAGAGTGAGGTGCGGTTGTCACTGTGGGGTCATACTGATGGCGTACAGGATCATTAAGAAGGCAGGTTACAATTCAGGTGGTGAAAATTCTTAGGATCGGGA